AAAGTGGCTGATTGGCAGCCATATCACGTGATTTAAAACGTCACCTGCTAAGCCAGATGAATCACTTCACAATATGCACACTGAAAATACCCTCATTTGAGAAATATTTATGAAACAAAGCCAAAAGAAATTTAACCAAATTTATATGATTGCAATGTCATGAAAAAAACGCAAGTCAGTATATCATAAACTAAAACAATAAATAGGATCCCTGGGGGCTTCATTCCCTTCAGGGACTTAAAGGTATAAGCTCTTGCCAACCCGAGTGCTCTTTTCCATATTCTTAAAAGTGTCAAACCGCCAAGCATTTTAAGGGGTGCTTTTGGCTGAATACAGTGATATTAAATACAGACGTGCATTATACAAAAGTGCAAAACAGAGTTCAAGGACCATGGCCCGGCAATTCCCTGGGTTTAGTGAACAAGCTGGAAGTCCATTGCCCCATTTCACGTAGAAATATTCAAAACGCTTTTTTTTTCTCTTGTGAACACAACATATGAAAGAGACGAATTCTGAACTTGAACCATAACAGACTACATTAAACATATAATCATGTTAAATGAGAGACTAACCTGGCCACAAAGACAGTTAACTGGAATGGCTGTCATAACCTCACCTCAGGAGGTAACTTCTCACCTTGTCACCTCTAAAGCAACAGAAATATGAAAACCGAATGGCGAAAGGTGGCAAAATAAAAACTTTAAAGAAATAAGTGTTGATAATATCTACCCAAGAACAGTATAAAATAAAGGCAAACTCAGGGGCCAGGGACCAACAGCCTCCTTTCGCGATGCGGCTGAGAGCTGCTCGTCGATCACATCAGCGTTTCCTCATTTTTAAATTCAAAACACCACAAAACCTTAGGATCAAGAGGGAGCAGGGGTGCCCATGACCAACATTTAAACAAACAAAATGATCGCAAACACTCATCACGTTGTTCCATCAAGCACAACACTGGGCCGGACGTGACTAGGGAGCTTCCCTGTCAACAATCCATTGGCCCATCGCACACATCCCTTAAAGATGTCACAACACATCATAAACTCGATTCGATCAGGATCACCACAAAACTCAGTAATTAAGAATTAAAACCAAGTAAACTTACATTTTCTGATCCTGGAAGGCGGGTGCCGCCATATTCCCACATATCCTCGGGAAACTGTCCACGGAAGCCCCACAGGACAATCCAGAC